CTCGTGTGTGCACTTTTGTGACCTCTCGGCTATTAAATGTACATGTTGACAATAACACATATATTGAATAAATTTCTCTCTTTCTCTCTCTTTCTCTCTCTCTCTCTCTCTCTCTCTTCTTTCTTTGTAAAAAATGAAACTTATAAAAAAAAACAAATGTATTTCTCCCACACGATCTCTCTTTTGCCATTTTCCATACGCTGAAGATACAATAACACAAAGTCGCAAAAATTGCAACTATTTTGCAATAACAATTTGCTCTGTGTGTAATTTGCGATCGTGTGTTACGTGAAACTTGCAGACAGATATTTTCCATGTAAATGCCAAGCCGGCATTAAATACCACTCTATAATGTAAGAGGTTTGAATAGATATATATATATATATAATACATAATTGTCGTAACTTTATCGTCAGAACCTCGCGGAATATCGATATGGAATCTCGGACCGAGTTGCTCAATCGAATCGGTCCAAGAAAGTGCTCTCGAGAGCGAAATTGGGAGTTAAACTCCGCTTTACCGCGATTCGAGCGCGTCTATTGTTGATCATTAGGCGCAAGCTAATAAAGTATTCCTCGCCGCCATAAGCTTCAGTTTCCGAAGAACCAATTGCAGCGGAATAATCGCGATTGTGCGCGATCCGCTGTCTCTTCGTCATTGTGTAACGTTGTCAGCTAATATAACGAGATAAATTATACAACAGATAACAGATGATATATGTATATATGTTACATGTACATTTAAAAGCAAAAAATTTATTTAAATTTATCGTCTGTTTAATTTAAAAAAAAAAAAACACTTGGCACTTTGCGAGCGATTAAAAAAAGATAAATTCTTCAGCGTGCGATACAAACGTGTCGTTGCGACGAAAATAATTTTACGCAATCGTTTTAATTGTGTCCGAACAGCTGATGCCGATGAGAAGTGATACACACACGAAGCCTTCAAGAGCGCGCAGCTCTTTAAGAACTCCATCGTCCGTCGTTTCGAACCAAAGTTTAAAGGTGAAACGCGCGTTCTGGCACAGCAACAGCTGCAGCCTGTGAAACCGCCGTCGCTTTATGGATTAACGAGCGTTCGCGTGCACTTTCGCGCAAGTTTCGTGAAACACGGTCGCAAAGTGGCAGCGAATGGGCGCGCGAGAGAGCGCGCGGAAGTTTTCGATGCAAATGCGATCATTTGCGCGACGAATTTCCGACGAATTTCTATCGCGCGCATAACGAACAGAGTAAACGCGCGCATCTCCCCTTTCTTCCGCCCGTGTGTCGATGATACTTGAAATTTGCCTTTTGTGTTTTCCCCGACAAATGTGTAATCTTATCTCTTCCCGAGCGCAATTTGATTCTAGATTCGCTCTTTGAGCGTCAAAGGTGGTGGCGGAACAGACTTCGCTCGCGCAATACGGTACGCGATATGTGATAAATGAAAGAGATGATGTGAGGTGAGAGGTATTGATTATTCGCTCAATTTAAAACTACAAAGAGACAATAAAAAATATAAAAAAAAAGAACAGCTGCGCATCACGTGAAACAGCAACAAGTGTGAAATTAAATTCTCGAAACGCGTGAAAAAGGGGGGAAGAGGAAAGATCTTTCTCTGTACAATCAGCCGATTGCGAATTGGCGTCTTCTGAACTGTCAAATTATGCAATTATGTAAAAAAAAAAAACTTTAAAAAAATACATAAAAGGCGCGTTGGAGGTGAAAATGTCATGTCAGGTGATATGTTGCACATACGCGCGCGTATTTCGGATTCGCGCGATTTTCTCTTCCGAAGACTTTTTTCTTCATTCACGCTTAATTAAAAGTCTCAGAAAAGAGAAGAAGGTAACGTGGATAAAAACATCTACCGGTTGGTGGCTGCAACTAGGCCGTGAATGCACTTTTATCTCGATAACAGCGTACGCGAAAATCCGCACTGCTTTTGCGCAAGTACGAATTGGGCTTGAAGCCAGCTCATTTTAACAAAAATAGCGAACGCTCCCACGTCATCTCTTTTCACCTCGTGCGTTTTTTGTTCTTTGGGCTTCTCTTTAGCGGTGGATGTTCGTACCTCGCTTTCTGTAAAGCGAAGCGTCTTTCTTTCAACGCGGTCCGCCGACCTTTTGTTCGGAACGGCATGAAAAAAAAAGAGAGAGAGAAAAAAGAAAGAAAAAAGGAAAGAGATATTGTTTCGAGCGTAGAGACAATAATTGCAGACAGCCATCGAGTTTAAAGGATAATTGGAAAACGTCGAAACACTCGTCGAGAGAAATATCATATTTCTCTCTCTTTCTCTCTCTCTCTCTCTCTCTCTCTCTCTGTGTGTGTTGGAGATACACATGGAACGCAATTATTATAAAAAATGCGCGATTTCCTTTGAGCTGCTCATTGTGTGTCAAACCGATTTTGCTTTCTCGACTTCCACTTTTTTTGTTCCCTTACGTCGGATTGTCGTATTACGACGATAAAGTGGCCCTGTTATGTAAAACTTGTTATCTACGCTCTTTCTCGCTCGCAGATTCTCGTGGAGTGGAGAGATTCTATTTCCGACTTACGAGACTTGCGATATTGACTCGAGAACTGCGACGAGGGAAGCTCATTTGACCTGCGCTTTCCCTAAAACTTCTTCGTGATAAATCTGTCGAGGTCCCAACGTCGACACTTCGTGAAAAAGTGATTCCGTTCTTGAGAACGCGCGGAAAGATGAGACGCGACACTTGGATGGATTTTCGACGGATTTGCCGAACGAAACCATAAATCGTTTTCTCTTTCTCTCTTGTTGTCTTTATCCAAAGAAGACCGTTTCACACACACACACACACACACACACACACACACACACACACTCTCTCTCTCTCTCTTTCTATTTCTCCGGTCCTTGTCTGTTTCTTGTCTCGTGACAATAAATCCTCCCCTTCCCAAAAAAAGCAAACGTCTTCACTCAAACGGCTTCTCTTCTTTTTCTCAGGTTGCGGTCGACGCGTCGCCAGGCTTGAGAACAATTTCAAGACGACAAAGAAGACGAAGCTCGGCGTGGAGGAACGTGAACGAGGCTTCGATCGACTTCGTATCGATGGAGCCGTCCTGATGGAGCCTCGCGCGGAAATACGCGAGGATTATCCGGCCTGGCCGTCGGACTAATTCCTCCGGCAACAGGCCCTGGCGATCTTACGAAGCGGCGTGTGTGTCGCGTCGCTCTCTCATCCCCGTCGACGGCGACAGACCCGGCCACTTCCACTTCCTCCACCCCACATAGTCGCACCATCACCTGATAAGGTATACATTCTCATCCCGTGTCGCATTTCCGTTTAATTACTCTTGGGATGCTGTTTTCTTTTTTATATATGCTTGAGAAAAACAAAATCCGTCATCTTCTCGCGCGGTGTCACACATCATCTCGGCGAGCATTCCAGGACCCCTCGATTGTACACAAATATATATATATATATATATATATATGTATATGCATGGAGATTGACCGCGCGTTAAATTCACAGTCCCGCAAACAAGATTCTATCGGTGTGGCACTACAGATAATGGCGGGGTGGCCATTTGTGCTCGATGGCCCGATATGTTGATTAATCTCTTCATCGAGCTATCGTGTTATACAATCTGATAAGGTCCGGCAATTGGCTGCGAGTAAGTTGGAGCACGCTCGGTCTAACTGACTGCTCTGTCCACACACTCTCGGGTGTGTGTTTGCGCTAGAGCTTAAGATCCCTTAGCAGACCGTTTGCACGAAGACGTTGATGGACGAGCGTGTACATGCAAACTTTACGACCATCTGGTTCATCTCCCGCTCCCTATACGTCATGCGATAATCGACTAGCGCGGAAGCGCAATGTGCCTCACGTGCAAACACAACAACCGTATATCGCGGTTTCAGCAATTCGTCCAAGATGCGGTAACACACACGTACATGTACGCCGCACAAACACTGTCTGAGAAATTGCGTTTCATCGAGTTCAAGCAAATAATCACCGATGTGTGTGTTTCCAAATTTCCAACGCGCGCGAAAATAATTGCCAACATCTTGTACTAGCTCGGGAGATTTCTCTCGGCAATATTCGAGATATCTCGCATTATTCCTGCGGTACACACGCGATATGCGAATGTCGCTCCGAGTGAACGCGCAATTTTGCGTTGTCTTGTGAGCACGCGTTATGTTCCCGACGTTTGAGTTTAACGAGACGAGAATATCCCTCGATCGTTTCCGCAATAATCGAGTCGGGAAAATTTTTGAAAATTATCGTCACTTTTTGTTCGGTAAAATAGAATGCAAATATTTTTTCGTTACACATTCGATTTTTATTTTGTACACAGTTGTGAAGGAAGAGGTTGCTTTGTGTATCCGGTAGGTGTGTCGGAGATTACAATATTACGAAAATTGTTTTTATTTTTTGCACCATTAGACAGAGAGAGAGAGAGAGAGAGAGAAAGTTCACATATCCGCGCGGAATTATTCACCAAAGATCTAAAGAGCGCTTTTATTCACATCGGTCGCGTTTGAATTTTTTGCATCGCTTACGCCAACGAAAAACCATCGACAAGCTGACCTTTTCGCTCGATAAACGTTAAATGATTGATAAAAAAAAAAAAAAAAAAGCGCTATATTTCTTTCGTAAAGGGGCACGCTCGAAATGTCATCCACCGACAATGCAGTTTCTAAAAACTAGGGATGGTCGGCAAATTGCGCAAAAAACTTGTGCGCGACTGCAACAATCGCAAAAAAATTTAAATTTTTGAAACTGAGAACACAAACAGACGCGGAAATCATCGCGATTTGTATGTTGCAAGCGTGTTCCGACAATTCGCGAAGCACTGCCGTGAAAATGGTGGGGCGATAGTAGCGATAACAATGAAAATATAGTCGCGCGATTCTCGTTTGAAAAATATGTTCTCGCGCGTCTTTGTACACGTAATAAGTATGCAGAGAGATAGAGATAGATAGATAGAGAGAGAGAGAGAGAGAGAGAGAGAGAGAAAGATAGAAATATCATAAATATTTCAGAGCTGGAGAAACGGCCGCAGCCGCAGCCGCCTCGGAGCTCTGAGGAGCTGGAGGATCTGCACAAGCTGCTGCACTTCCCCGAGGAGGTGGCGCTCAGGTTGACGGAAAGCGAGTACCAGCTATTTTATCAGGTACCACCGTACGAGTACCTAAGGCACGTGGCGCAGGATCAGACCACGTTGCAGAAATCACCTGCCAGGCCACCCCCGTCGTCGAGTCGCAGCTGCAGCAATCCCAGCACCACCAATAGCTCGACCCAAACCGAGGACGAATCCTCCTGGCCTGTACCCACGGTGTATTCCACCGTGCAGACTCTCATCGATCGTTTTAACGAGGTGCGTATGTGTATGTGACAAACATTTTTCATGCGTCTTTTTTTGCACGCGTCGACGAGCAAACAAACGCGATACTGTTGACATAAATAAAAGAGTCAGACAATGATACGTACATAGACAAACAGAGTAGCGAACGTATGCAATAGATGCGAATCGACAGTCAAAGGAAAGACTCGCGGAGTCAAGGATCTCGCGGAAGCTCTCATCGTTCGCTTTTAATGAGGTGTCCACTTTTCCAGCGGCTTTCCGCACATTTTCGCACGACACTTTCACCTACTCTTCACAAACACACGCACACACATATACACAACACGGATATCATATGACCTCGCCTACTCGTTTCCGCAACTCCCCCTTCATTTCCTACTCCAACGAGTCCTCCATCCAAGGTTGAAAACGTTGGGTCCTTCATCCTTCCGCTTTCCACGTCGTTCTCTCTTTACCATCGTGTTAAACAAAAGCCTCGAGATGGAGAGAAAGCTGTTGGAAAGTGCTATAGACGACAGATTTTTCTCTTCTCCCGCCCTTTCCTCCTCAAAAAACTGCAGCAAAAAATTTTTTCAAAAACAATCAATTCCTTTTCATTTGAAACGTATTAATCAATAAACTGCGAATAAAAATCTGTCAATAAAAGCTATCCAGATAACTAGAACAAATTGGTTCAAATTGATTTTTGCGTCACTTCCCGATACATTCGCGTCTCCATATCCGTGCGCTAGAGTGGACTATACTTGAACATTCGCTTCGAAATGCCAAAATAATTCCCTCTCTATTTTTGACTTAAAGATAAATAAGTAAAATATATATATATATATAAGTTCGAGGTCAACGAACCGGCCATATGCATGTTGTAGCAACTTGTTGCGGAAAAAGACACTGCGTGTGAATTATGTTAATATTTTAATACAATTACTGCGAGATCCCACTGGTCGGACATTTGTCCAAAGAAATTATAAAAATTTTTCTATACGTAAACAAATACAGATTTTATTATTTTATTTACGCAGAGTTAGAAATCAATTTTTATTCGTCTACGGTCAAGTAACTGTCATTGCATTTGTTAATCAGGTAAGCTCATGGGTCACCCACGCGATCACCAGCGGTGGCACAGTAAAAGAACAACTTGCGGTGCTGTCCTGCCTTCTGCGCGTCGCGCTAACCTGTTGGAACACTGGAAACTTTAATTCAGCTATGGAGATAATAGCCGGTCTGAAGTAAGTACAAACGTAATGCTCGGCGTCAGCAAAATGTCACTCCCCGGTAAATCTCTCTGCTTAAAAGAGATGAATCCTTTTGAATCTCATCTTTTCTTGCGATTTGCTTTGTTAAATAAACGAGACGCACACACTCATAAAGTCAAGCATGTATTTTAAATCCCGACTTAATACGAAAATCGTAATGTAATTTCTCGATACTCCTCTTTCCCCTGCTCCATCCCTCCGTCTCATTACGGAAGCCCATCCGTCTTCATTCGCCGTAAGCAGCTAAACGCGCAAAGTTGCTACCGGCACCGATAAATCATTACGGAAAGATAGTCGGATTTTCCGTCACTCTCGAGTTTCGACTTGACTGAAAACACTGTCATATAATTGATGTTTGCAATTACGGTCAATTAATTTTGTTAAATTCAACAGAAACTAGAAAAGAAAGAAAGAGAGAGAGAGAGAAATTACTTTGCGCGTTTAACAATCTGTAAAAATCATCCAAAGCGAACTTACGAGCGTTGTTCTTTTTATATTTGTAGATTTATTTATAAACTTGCGCGATGCAAAATGTTTTAAATCAGCGAGCAGATACGCTGAGGAGATCTGTGAAACGTATAATTTTTCCGACAAGAGTTTACACCGACATTAATCCGAACTCAAGGCTCTCGTGAAACTTCGCCTCGATATGTGTCGCGTGACGTTGCGACTTTCGAGGTCGCGCGCGCTCGCTCAATTAATCTTCATCTTTTGACGAGGCAAAGAAGCCTTGAAATTATGTGTGTCCCCGTACTGTGACACAACGGATCCTCTTCTTTACTCGGACTGTGCTTTTTCGCAAATGGGACATTTTTCCGAGTATGCGTTTTGCCGCGATAAAAAAAATTGTGGTAGAAAAACTTCCCGCGGAACACACAGTCTCTCGCGATGGGATTTAATTTCGTCTTCGTATTATCTTCCGATTTATTGCATCTTTTGTTGTCACAAGACACGCATTTCGTAAACGTTAACGGGCCGCTAAAAATCACACGTCAGTTTGCTGCTCTCTGAATTTCTCGGAGCGAAATCTAACGCCGGAAACGAGCGGATATTCGCCCCAAGCGCTAGTGAAAACGTCCGCCACTCGTAATTAGTGGAAATTCACTTTTCACACGCAAAAATGATTATTTAAATCCGACGTGTCGCGATCGTTTCGAAAGAATAATTATTGTCGCGAATGTTTATTCTTGCAATTTGATCTTGTCTTCTCGGTTATTCTAATAATTTGTGGAGAAAAAAAACGTTCGTTCGTGAGAAATTCACTTCAACTGTGTACTCGAACCTCCGCTTGTTAAGATGTCTATCTGATTCAGATATCGAGACTCTCTTGACGATAATTATTGGCGAAATCACTACTTACACATAGCGAATGCGCTTCGCGCGTTCTGCGTGGAGTGAAGATATTTCACTCCACGAAGAACAAAGTGAAATATTCAACAGAAAGCGGAAGAACTCGCTCCGTGCGAGTCTCCAACTCGAGCGATTCGTCGGTCACTCGATTTTTTTACTCGAATGAAATTTAGAGAGCAAGTTGACAATCATCGATCAAAAATTTTCAGCGACATCTTTGCCGAGATTCGACGAATCGCAAACTTTGTAAATAACAAACTTTGGACACGTACACGCGCGTACAATATCGCCAAATCAAAGACCGATTCGACAAGTATTGAATTTTTCACGTGACTCTTAACGCAATAAAATCTCATTGGAGATTCCGGTGTGAGACGGAGATTAAAAATCTGTCTGGAAAATAACGACGCACTCTTCGCAAACGATCTGGAATCTTTGACGTTTTTCACGTGCATTTTAAACGGGCGGACGATCAAAGTATACTTGATCTACTCGAGCTCTCGGTCGGTCTCCAAGCAGTTATTCTACCACGAATTTTCCGTTCTGGAACTCACGTCCATCTCAAAAAGGCCGATCATTAGCGTCAGTCGTGGACGTTTATCGGCACAGATTCGATTTGAAATCGAATCGTTCTCTCGTCTCTTAATTTGTCGAGATTTCATTACATCTCGTCTTCGTGAAATATTTCAGCGTTTCAAACATCGCGCAATTAATTTTGTTCTCATAAAAAAAATCAGTAAAGATTTGCGTGCTCTTCAATTATTATCGCACTTCAGTCGAGGTTGGAAGTTGTCGAAACTGCGCTCGGAATTGAATTTTCCGCGCGGTCGAGGGTTTTTCTTTTATCGCCCACGATTTATAATCTCGGTATTTATCTATAATTAGCGTTTCACGCGGGACTGTGTTCCCTCACACTGCTCTCATATTGCTTTCAGAAATTACCGCGAAATAAACATCAATTTACCTTACCGTGAACTTTCGGTAACGTTGCCACGTGCAATATATACTCTCGGTTGTATTTTTGCACTATAGATGTTATCGTACAAGCGGCTCAGATTTCAAATGGGAAAAGCGTTCGGGGAACGCTTCCTCTCTTGTTTGAGAGATGATTGAAATACTTATGCTCTAACTTATATAATCCAACTCCGGCCTTATTGGTGTGCAGTCGCTGCATAAACGCTAACGGTAACGACTTGCTCCCGGGCAAGCGTGTTCCAGCATCTTCGACCCGCATCTTCGAACGTGTCTCATCCCGAGAATAATAGCATTATTATCACGACCCAATTGCCCAACCGAATTTTTGCGAAGGAAATAATATATTGATAATTATATTTTTTGCAACCAATCGGCGCATCGCCCTCTGTCGGATGTTTCGATACGCAATTTCTTTCTCACACAAATTACATTTCGCGCGTCTTATCTGTACGAGACGCAAGGATGTAACTTTTCGTGGCAGTTTCGCTCTATTAAAGAGTAGGTATATCTCGTTCGAGTTTTATCGAGCGCGACACGTGGGTGTCGTTTCTCTATAGCTGTCTCTACATAGGCAACGCCCCCATTTCCCGAAACGATTCAACGACGTAATCGCATTATTTCGCGAGTTCTTTCGGGAACTGTGACCTCTTTCGATCTCCGATTGCCGAGCGAAATGTTCTCACTCTCGTTAAAAAAAAAAAAAAAAGAGTAACTCCACATATGTTCGTCTATCGAATGATTTTTTTCTGAGATTCCGTAAGAAAGATAAAGTACGCGCGTTGATTGAAGTGATTTCCGTCGCTCTGCTTCGAAAAGAGTTTCTCATGATCTATATCCTAGATCTGTTTCTCTCTCTTTCTGTCTAAAATATAAAATAATTTACTAAAAGGTTCCGCGACTGAAAATACCTTATCTGGCAGTTTTGACTGTTGCACCGCACGTGCTACGATTCGAGTGGACGGAAACATACGTGTGTGTGTGTGTGCATATTTCTTGAAACTTATTCTCTCTTACAAAGAAGAAAATAGCAATGCAAAGAGAAAGAAGAATCGAGCTTTACTTACCGCTTGAAAAATTCGAGATCGACTTCGGCGAGATAAAAGTGTTCACAACCCGACCTTTGTATCGCGAAAAGTATCCGAGTACGCGAGTTTCGTAATAAAATGTATTGCGTTTCGAGCTGGTTGCCGATCCTAACCGACCTGTCATAACTATCGTCCCGTTCAATCGCCAACTCGGAAGCTGCGAAGGAAATTGCATCGATGAGAGCGTAATATCGCCGATAGCAGAAATTTCTACCGGAGCTTCGGGGGAGTTTTTATGCCCGCCATGCGGTCATCGTTTTCGTTCTTCGTTCGCGGATAACGATGCCCGTTATTAAAAAGGATGTCGGAACGACTCTCTGTAATATCGGCCGAACGGACATTACAGTTTCGACCTGTTTTTTGTGTTTTTATTGCTTCGGATACTATAAAAAAAACGACTTTGCGAAATAAAAGACGATGAAGTGAGAGACAATCTGTGCCAAGACGAAAATTCACCAAAAACGTAACGATTTTTTCTTACACTCACTATCTTTTTTTATTTTATTCCATTTTGTAGAGTTCGACCGCGTCCTCTCAAACGCGTCCCGAACAAGTTTCGCAATTGGTCAACAGTCGTCACCTTTTTGTCGTCGACGCGGAAATCAAATATTTTTTTTTATTACCAAGACACCGCGCGCAAAGTCCGACGCATCTCCGTCCCGAGAAGATAAAAAAGTTCGGCGCGGGAAGGGTATCGTTTTGAGAATGTGTCCGCCCGATTGTTGCGGTACATTCGGAAACGACCGGCATTTGGACTTAACTAGCTGCACTATGGAGAGAACCGCTTAAACACGGGAGTTAATTAACTGTAATAGCAAACGTTTCGTGTAATTTTCACGAGCTGCTATGCTGGTACGTGCGAAACGGAGGAAACTACAACGTACGTAGCAGCGACTGCTTCCGCCCGAGGCAATTGTCAGCCGCTCTATAGGATTTTAGTTAACCCGATTATAAATGCAATTATATAATTTTGTTGTAGCTTGTTTGTTTTGTAGCTTTTTTGTTTTTATTCTAACGCTACTGTCACTTGTGTTTCGCAGATCCAACAAGCTGAAGATGTTCTGGCACAGCGTGAACGACTGCACTCCACCGGTTATGGGCTATCTTTCCGACGCTCTCCTGTCCTGCGAATACGAACGTGCGCTTGGACGCGCCCTCGCGATGCCGGAGTGTCCGGTTGTCCCGTTTTTCGGAGCCTTTCTGCGCGAGCTGCGAGAAGTTATCGCACGCGAAACGAAGGTAAACACCTGAACAAGTCTCGGTCTCATACGCATGACACACACACACACACACACACACGCTGAGCATTTGCACGAGTAGAATTTGTGTGCCGTTTTATGTGTCGTCGAATATATTCCAATTTTGTTAAAAAAAATAAACCTGCCGTTTTTTGCAATTTGAATTTAGTTCGAACCTTCATGTGTATTAATTTACACGTTTAAAAAAAATTGTACACACATGTCTGCACCCGACATTATTGGTTGGCTCGTATCGACCCTAAAACTTGGTCAAACACATCGTCCTTGTTTGTTTATTTGTTTTTTTTTTTTTTATAATTTATTGAGTGATGTTTTGAATGTTCACTTTTTGTGTTCACTGTGAAGATTGCATCAATGCAAGATAAGAATCGAACAATCAAGATCCGTTCATCGTGCAGAAGATTGATTGTTGTTTATTTATGGAATGCAACTCCATGAGTATAGTAAATTTTGAACTTTGTTCGGCGAATATTTTTCTCGAATTTGTTCGAGCGTGCGTGACACCGAACGAGACAGATTAGCTGACTCGAGAAAAAAAAAAGTTTGGCAAGAGATTGAACGCTTTCGTGAAAGAGAATTCGCGCGCATTTTGGCGCTCGGCCAAAGAAGTTTATCAATGAAATCCGATGTCTGTCTGTCCCGAGACAGCGCGTCGCAACTTGAGAGGCTGCAAAATAACCGCAAGGGATGAGACACGATAATACGGCAGATTTGCTTCGTTATTATTCGCGTGCTCGAGAAATGTGCGAGAACTTGGTTCGTGGCGAATCTCATCAGGTTGGCGCAAAAATAATTGCGGTTTTTGTTACCCTTGTTAAATAATATTTAAAGTATTTTTAAATGTATAAAATATTTTAATGTAATTTGAAAATAAAATTGAACGACTGATTAAAAATGCGTCAGTTCTCTCTTCTCAAAAATGGTAAATTGTATCAACTAAGTAACCAACAGGTTGCGCATTTATTGTAACAAAATAACGACAGGTCAATTGTTATTACGCGACGTTATATGTCTGGGACTTGATGCGCGCAAGAAATAAGAGGAGATTCTTAGGGGTTTTAGGTAGGAGAAATAGTTTGCGTTACGAGCAGGATTGTTTCGAGTGCGATCACCGGAAATAGCGCAACGAAATTCTTCGACGAGCTTTCACGAGGAACGCGATAAGAGCACGGAGAGAAGTGGCGGAGAGGTTGCTGCTGCACCGTAAAAAGCGACAAGGAAAGGGGTTTCTATCGGCCTCCAGCAGCTACGAAGGTTGTAGGCCGGCGGAAACTACTTGCTCTTGTCGCTAACGATCGTCATCGGGGAGCGGGATAGCCCGCGTCTTTCTCGCTTTTTACGGCGTCACGTTTATTTGGTGGTAAGGGCGAACACGAGAGCTCCCGCGACGAAAACCGTCCGTTCCACCTCATGAAACTTGCGCAACGACCCCGGGAGTCGCCGCTGGTTACATCTGACATCGTAAAATTATGCTTGTAAACTTGCGTGGCAGTAGCGCAAACTCACCAGCGAGTGTTTGCTTCCGCGAAACAGTATAAATAAAATCCACAAAGCTCATTACATGCATTGTTGTTGTTGTCATTATTATTATTATTATTACGTATTTGTGATCTGAAGTTGTCGCTTCGATATACGATAAATTCTGGTTACGAACAATTTGTATAATTATTGTATAATTTATACAACTTGCGTAATTAATTATATGAGGTTTTTTGAGACAATATGTACATGATTTTATGTAATTTTATAACCAGATACAGAATTTGTCCATGTATGTGAAGGATTTTTTTCATTTTTATTCTCATATTTTTAAACAAAACCGACACACGTAATAACCACTCAATTCGTAACAGTTGTTACACCGTATTATTTCGAAATGCAGAATTTCCAAAGACAAACAGTCCGCAAAGTGATTACTCACCCTGCCGCAGGTTTTACTTGTTTAATTACATTCGACGTTGATTGACATTACGGGAGCAAAGTAAGCGACGGATTCTGTCTCGAGACCATCGAGACAGGTGATGCAAATACATATGTATTGCATTGTCACTGTTCCTCTTAGAAGGTAATCTGACAACCGAAGATTATTCGCGACGTTGTTGGCTCGCAAATGGAATTCGAAATCGGCATCGAACGCGGCGCCAAGCCGATACGCATCGCAATGTTATCCCGATGTGTTACCGGTTGCTCCCATATCGTCACGTATACATCCTCCCGGTGGCACGTATCTCACCGGAGGTGCAACAAAATTGAGCAGCGAAAGTCGCTTCGTTCGCGAAACATCACGTCTGTCCTGATGATAGTCAAAGCTTGAAAGATTAAATGTGTCTTTGTCTTTGTTCTGTTTATGTCGCGTTACACAGTTATCAATAATCTTATTAACTACTAAGGTCAAACATTTATCAAAGAAATAACTAAGTATTTACATACGTTAGAAGCTAAAATTATTTAAAAACATTTGAAAAAATACTTGAAACATTGAAACATTGTTGTTTGACGTTTACATAATTATTTCTTTAACAAATGTCCGGCCACTGGCACATATCCGGGACTTTGTTTATTCAGTAGAAAAACAAAAACATCCACCTTTGCAACAACAAAACATTGACAGCAAATTAATATTGCAAATTTATATTGATATGTGCGTAATATCTGCTTGGCGAAAGTAAGTTTAGTTAATCGAGATGTGCGTCGAATTATCGCATTGCGAATATTCCCACGGGTCTCAAACATGTTTGCAATTCGGTTCGTGCGCGACTTCGTGGCAATGCCGTTCGACAGCGAATCGATTAGCGGATAGTATGGTGCGATAAAGCGAAATGGCATTACCCCTTATGACGACGACGCGCCGTGAGACGCGATCACTCCGATATACACACCCGTGCGATATACTACAAGTTTATCGAATACCAGTTAATTATAAGCCGCATTAAAGTTCTTGCGCCGTCGCCGCGGTTTGCTTCGTGAAAACGCATTACGGAAGCCCGGGCTTACGGTCTGCTCGACAAATTTACGAGCGACGCGTATTATCTGTGTACAAATTTGTTCATTAACTCGTTCGTCCGATCTCACAATTAAATCGAACAAAGGAGATTTTTTTCTTTTTTTAACTTTGATATTGTTTTTTGTTCGACTTTATAATATTTATTTCAATAATACCGCCGTTAAAACGAGAAACATTTTCCAACCGAGACTTATGTTGACGCAGCGACAATTTTTTATCGCGCGTACATATATAAATAAATTTCGTATTTGTTTCTCTCTCTTTCTCTCTTACACACAGAGTTGTGTGAAACAACAACATTTGACGTTTCGTCGAGGTAAATGAAAATAACATGCGCTATTGTTCTCGCAGTTTTGTCATTACATCGTCTCTCGTGTGCACGAGGAAGAAGAACGCTTTGAGAAAAGAGAACCCCTTAGAGAAGATATCGCTTATCTTGTCTAAGAAAGATGTAGAATTGCGATAATTTGCGAGCGTAACGTTAAATTCTCTTTGTATAGTCGAAAAAGACTCTCAAAATGGGAATCAATAGCAGTTTACGATTTCTCCTCGAGATACGCCCTCGAAATCTCTCGCGTGTTCATCAACAGAAGCGTTTGGATAGGCCCTTTTGACACATAAAAGACTCGATGTTGAGCGTGGGCTACGTATATACAAAGTGCTCTTTCACAAGAGTGTGAATCTCTTGACAATCTCGTAAGCGCTGAGGAACTTGAAGAAAATTTAGTGGCACGCATTAGTACTTGGTCCTAGCTTTTCCTGTCGCGCGCAGCTTTCTGCACGTCAGGTTGACACATGCGGTTGACAAAAACACACACGCAAACTGTTTTAAATCTCCATTTTCGAGTAAATAATATACTTGATTAAATACAATAACGTGTGATTTCACACACAAAGTGGCATTTGATTTTGACATTTTTGTTTGCCGGTTCAGTGTCTTTGTGACAAAAAAGCACTTGTAAACAAATTGAAGTAAAATTAATTGGTCGTTTTTGTTAATACATTCGACGCTTTCTCTCCTGCAAAATCGATCAAAAATTTCTGAGAATTATTCCGTCGATTCGGCATGTTTCAGCCCCATCCCGAGAAGGAATATCGCGAATCGCCACGTGGTAGTATTAAAGAGAGCGAACCTCAAGAACACGTGCCTTTGTCTGCGCCGGCCGCTAGGATCGCCGTCGAGAGTAACACAGAGACGCCGTCGGGATGGAGTTCCAGAAGCGGCTCTTTGAACAAATCGGAAAACCCCGTTATACACGATACGAATTCCGTTCTCGACAAAGTCGCTCTCTTTCACAAGGTAAGGTCGATGAAGAGACCATAGCGATAATAAATACGATAGAAGTAGAAAGTTGTTATCAATTTTTTGCGTTTACTCCCGTTCCCTAAAAGAAAGAAAGAGGAATTGCAAGAATTATTTTATCGAAAGTTGCAAGAATTTTTTTAACAAAAACACAGCTTTGTTTTACAAACATCTACGCACAAGCTGTCCGAGAGTTTCGGAGTGATTTTGCTCCGTGTATTCAAATGAGCTCAATAAATACAAAATAAACTCTCTTTAATTAGTTTCTTAGTTGTCGAGAAAAATGTTTTTAATGAAAAAAAAAGAGTCAAAGGAAATACCTTCTCCGATGTGTAAAGGTGTGGCATAGCTTTTTCATATATATATAATTGAATTTATCGAGGAATATTTTTCTCGCAAGCATCGGCATGCCCGTGGCCGAGACGCGACTACCGGTTCCCTTCATCACACCTTGAGCGTTCACACGACCACGATCGAACAAACCTACATGGCGGAGGAATGCGACGAAAACGACTACCATCTCGATTTGGACTCTTACAAACCCGTACAGCCGATCAAGATCGATCACGGGGTCTCCTTGTTTCCTGTTGCCGCGCCGCACACCGGCATGGATCTTCACATCTTGCAGGTACGTTATCGCATCTTTTTCTTTCTCATATGAAAGAGTACGAGAAAAGCATATACGAGATTGATAAGTATCCGAAACGACGCACAAACGACATCACGTCGCTGTTGTTGTTTAACAAATAACGACACATTTTTTTTAATTATAATATTATAAGATTTTTGTACGTAAAAAATATATAAACAATATTATTTATAATCAGTGCAGAAATTGAGATTTTTTTTATAAATAAAAAAGCTTAAAATAATTTATTTCTCCTTTTGTAGTCACATTGTTCAAGTACATCGAACAAGCGGCGACGCTACAGGAAATTCCTGTCGCCGTCCGACTAAGAAATTCCAAGGCTGCCTTTGAAATTTAAATAAACACCTACGTATTTTTTCTTTGATACCGTACCCAAAAGGTACGGCGATTCAACGACACATGAGATTTTTAAATTTTCTTTTAAGCTACGCGAGTTGCAAAAAGAAGCACCTACGAGAAAAATGTTCATCTTTGCGTGCGTTTGATGTCTCTGTGATCTTTTTTCATAATACAGTACACACTCGAAATAAATGAAAAACAAAACAAACAATAATAATATAACCAAAATAGCTACTTGACACTCCGTTTACACTTTGTATCTTGAGAACAGTGAGAGAAAGTGAGAGACGGAAAATGACTTTGTGAAGACTGTTTTGCATGAGTAATTGAGATTTTGGTGCTCGTTTTTCGTGAAAAAAAATTTTTCTCGAAATATTACTTATCGCGACTCTTCTTTCGCGACGTGCGGCGTCACTGTGGTAAAAGATATCGTCACAGCACGTAGCTCACACACGTCAAAAGAGTTTCAAAGAGACTGGCCTTCCCGCTTATACCCTTGGTATGTCTTGCGGAAATTAGAGAGAAAACGCAGAAATATGCGGGAAAACGAGGAAGAAAGATTGAGAGAGACAGAGAGAAAGAGAGAAAGAGAGCACTATGTAGCAAACGAACCACAAGAACTTGTGGAAAAAATGGTGTAACGCAGCACGTAAAAACCAGGTCATCCTTTTGAATCGAGCCACCAATTGTCAGCGTTAATTGAGTGGCAAGAAAAAAATAGAACACGATGTGTATTCGCGGAGAAAAATAGTTCGTACGTAATATTAAAAAAAGAAAAAAAAATTAATTGTTATCTCTCCGTTGTGAAAAATTTTACCGCATAAATACAGTTCGCAGATTTTCTATTGCTGTTATTATTTAATTTAACACACGTGATTCGTTCATTTTACGTTAAGAAAAATCTATGTCTACGGCAAATCGATAAATAACTCGAAGTTGAATATCGAGGAAATTTGTGTCTCTGTGAACGGTAACGTATGTAACAAATATCTGCATGGACGATACACTCAGAAACGTTATAAATGCATTATTCCATCAGCGTTAACAAACGCACTTGCGACATTTGGTACTTTGCCGGTGAGACACGAGCTCGGTGCAGTCGCGAAAATGACCTCGTAATGTTCCCCCGTTGAAATTAATACATTTACAGCAAGCGCCTCTCTGTGTGGTTTGCTGTTTTTAAAAATAATGGCATTAGTTGGCGGAGTAATCTGGTTGCTACCGCACGAAGACCGGGGACAATGCTTTGAGCAAAATCACATATATATATAGACTTTACGTGTTCACACATTTTCCATTTACATAATAACAACTTTGATACGATATTTGGATTCGTGTGCGATACGGAGACGTGCGATATAGAAATTCTCAAAAAGCTTTCATATTCCGCGTCACGACAACCCAATTACAAAATTCATTAATCGAAGAGAAATAATTAATGGGACCTCGTTTTTACGTCGAGGCATGTCACAGTTGATGTAAATAAATTGATATGCAAAGTTATCAAAAACTTCTCTTTCCTGAATTTACATTTTTATCTAACGTAATGTGTGATATGCATAAATATTTACTTAACATATGTATATAATGTGCGTTGAATATTAAGAATACAAAGGGAAAGAGAGAAAGAGAGAATATAGTTCAAAAACAAAATAATATTTTCTCTCGCGTGAGATGCGAGAGGAAAACAATATATAAATAAAAGACTCGTTAAAATTTACTAAATGATGTAATATGTTCTGAAATCTGAACTACCGTGCGTGTCGATTTCAAACTCTTTCACAAAACGCAAAAAGAGAAATACAAAAAGCAGTTGGGTATAAATTTTCCTACAGGTGCTGCATCATGGCACGACTTTGGTGCATTGGGACTACGACGGTGGTACTTCGAGAACGGCGTTGGTGTTCGCGCGCGTCGATCGCGCGTGTGGCACCTTGGTCTGGGAGAAGCCACCCTGGAGTCCGCTGAAGACGGCACAAGTTGGCGGTACCGCGCTCACAGACTTTTCGCTGTCCGCGAATCCGGAGGACACGGTGCCAGCGGGCCTATTCACCAGATACACGCAACCGCAGGCTGATTGCGCTTTCGTCACCTTGGAAGAGGGATACTTGGATCTGGGATCGGTGAAGGAGATAATGATCGGTTGCTGCGACCGCGACCGGGAGGCTGATCTGAGGAGCATCTGCAAGAGATACGGCCTACCTGGCTCCGATTCCTGTATCGGCCTCATGTATGGATCCAATCTTCCGGACAATCGACTGATCTTCCTACTTTGCCCTCCCGCCCTTAGCAAGTGCGTTTGCGAAACCACGATTGTATTTTACTGGTTTTATCAACACATTAAAAGCACATTTCTATAACTTCTAATTGTTTATCGAATTATGCAATCCGCACTTTGCTTGACTCTTCAGAATATGGTACATGGGACTGTGCTGGATACTGCGTGGCCTCAAACGACAACAGCAACTGACAGATCGCAGATCGCGATGGCTGAAGGAAAAGTATCTTCAGTTGTATTTTTCTTATTTGGAACAAGCGATAGAGGGTTTGGAGCATCCAACGACTGCCGACGCAATACGCGTTTTCGGGGGTCGCGATTGGTCCATGACGGAGAGCATCGGCACGTTATCTCCAACGAGCAGTAGCACTCTACGCAGGCGAAATGTCAAAGGGAAAAAGACCAAGTCGATCACCAACATTCACGCTTTAACTAAGGTTTGCACAGATTCGGTTATTTTCTTTGTATCTGTAGATCAGTGAAAAACAAATGAGATTCCTCGCAGGAATATTATTCGCATTCTTGTATACACGTAGACACACGTAATACACATGTGTTCGGTAAACTGATGAATCTTAGTTTTATACAGGATTTAAGTCTAAAACAATACGAATCTTCATCATCGGATGGAGGCCTATGCAGCACACCTCTTCGTCATATCACGGGAAGTAGAGAATCTCTAACGAGGATCCTACCCGCATCGCCGAAAGCGAATCGAGACCGAATTCCACCGCGTAGCCCGCTCGGCTCGGCTGATCATATCGTCACCTCCAACTTGCCTTACTCCGCTTTTCAGAGGTATCTATTCAAATTTTCGCACAATTTTGTCACACTAGAATCTCGCGCTGTTCATTTTCAAACAAAGAATTTATTAGAAGAGAAATGTCGATTTTTCGGTAGCGACATGATAGTTTCGCGAAAAAAATTTAAAAATTCTAAATTCTTATCAAAACTATTAATAAATCAATTGTTTCCACGTTACGAGCTTGCGATAACACGCGCGTAGTTTGTTGTGTGTTGCAAGAGAGAAGGAGAAAGCCGAATCCGGATACCTGGTAAGTGGCATACCCGGTATACCCGGCGGCTCGGAGACTCCTTGGCAAGTAAAGGCGCGCACCACATCGATCATGTACGAGACGCAATTGAACTTCGTGGAGTTCGTCGCGCTTTTCCGATCGTTCAGCTTACGGGCTAGAAAAGATTTGAGGGATTTGTTCGGCCAATTAGCAATCACATGTCGCAGCCAGAGTGACGGATCGTTGAGAGACTTCAACATTCGACCGATAGTGCTCAGACAGACCAGCGATGCCACCCCGCAAAGAATCGGTATGTACTCACTTACAAGTAAATAAATTGCCGAATCAATAATTTGTAGTACTTCAAATAATATTTCTAGTAATTTTTGGAAAGAGGCATTTTTTTTATCTACAACATCGATAAAATTTTCCGCTACACGAAACTTGTTTGGTATAAAAATAAATTTGTAATTAAAAAACTAATCAACGTAGCGTAATTACGTAACTGCGTCTTAAATATCGTCTCGACTGAGAAATAATCACAACGTTCGAATGTGTCAGGCTTGTTGACGAGAAACAACTCTATCGACTGTCACGAGTACAAGACGAGCAGCAATCTGCAAAGGAAGCAGATCTTCGACGCTGTCGCGGCGGCTAGCATAATCAATAATTGCTCCGGCGTGGACACGTCAAAGTCCCAAGTGATCACTCTGGCGACGTTCACGAAATTTCTCGAGTCTCGGCAGCAGGAAAAATTGAGCGACGAGGAAATCAAGGCGTTGATTAAGGTAAATATTTAGAGACTGGTTTTGAAGAATCCTCGTTTCGTGTTAGAAAAAAAAAAAAAAAAAAAAAAAAACATTCAGTTTAACTTCGCGAAATTGCCTATTTTTATTTACATCGAACACACAACACCTAGTTTATATTTTTATTTGATTTCGCAAATAAATTACTTTCGCATCGAACGATCTTTACCTTCGCTACGTAACTCGCCGATTCCGTAAGGCGATTTCAATTAGCCGAGAACACGGAAATTCAACCTCCTCCTCGCTCGTGACCGACCGCGGCAATATGCAACCGTAACACACACACACACACACAATCAAACGAGGGTCTGTGTTTATTCTCATTTCAGAGGCACGAACCGGACCCGGCACTTCGCACACAGTGGTGTTTGTCTTTCGAGGGTTTTGCGCGATATATGATGGACAAGGACAATTATGCCTTCCCGAACGAGTACGCGACACCATCCGAAACCGAAATGCAGCAGTCTCTGTCGCAATATTACATTGCCAGTTCCCACAACACTTATTTGACCGGGCATCAGCTCAAAGGAGAATCCTCCGTGCAATTGTACTCACAGGTGGGGGCGTGCGTTGAGCAACTTTCAGAAATTTGTTTGCCGAATAAACTTCGTGATTTGAAAAAATTACTTGAAAGGATGCGTGTGTGATATATATATATATATATAAAACTTTTTTCACACACACCTGCATTTTTAAATTTCTCCAAAAGATGCGCGCGTATTTATTAAACAAATTTTGATATAAAAAAAATTACCGTGTGTTAATTAAAAATCCGTGTGAGTTCTCTAAATTCTCTCTTCAAATAAACAACGACGAATTGAGTACTACCGGTACTGATTAACAGGAGATTTGCTGTTACAAATAGGTGCTTTTAACCGGATGTCGCTGCGTAGAGCTTGATTGTTGGGACGGTGACGATGGATCGCCGCTGATTTACCACGGCCACACATTCACCACCAAAATACCATTTCGATCGGTTGTGGAAGCAATCGATCGAAGCGCCTTTGTTAGTTCGCCGTATCCCGTGATTCTGTCGATCGAGAATCATTGCTCGCCCACTCAGCAAGCTCGTATGGCTCAAATATTTCAGGTGCGTAAATTTAATTATTTTCTACACCAAATTTGTTGTATTATAATCACAATCAAATCACATAACATCGTCGTTACAGTCCGTATTCGGCGAGAAACTGGTGACAAAATTTCTCTTCGAGTCCGACTTCGGTGACGATCCGCAATTGCCTTCGCCGTCGCAGTTACGCTATCGAATTCTGATAAAAAACAAGAAACTAGTGGTCGATCCCACCGGTCCCTTGTCTCATACGCCTCTCAGTCATCGCGGGAAGATGCTCATGTCGGATCGCGCGTCGTCTATGAAACAAATGCGCACAGACGTGAGCAGCACGTCGGTTGTCGAGTATTTTAGCGAGGATGAGGACGACGAAGAGGACGACGATGAGGACGAGAATATCGATGGTAGATAAAATATGTTGAAGAAATAACATTCTCTGCTTACAACTGTTTACCAGAGCAAAATGTAGCTACTGTTCGATTGACGTGCAATTTACAGACAACTCGCTCTCGAGCTACGAAAAATATCTAGGAGGCAGCCAAGTGCCGCAAAGCCGTTTGAAGTCGGATCAGGGAGTGGACGACAAGTCGCAAAAACAGAGCAGTCAAATAGCCAAGGAGCTGTCCGATTTGGTGATTTATCTGCAGGCGATCAAATTTCGCGGACTGAACACGACGCCCGGGACAGCGGTGCCCGGCAAAACACGTCATCAACCGCATACCGGGCCGGTTCAGAGACACAGCATCGCCGGCATCGGACCCAGCAGTATAGCTTCCTCATCGGGATCGCCGCAATCGTTATCAACCTCGGCCTCGCTCGCGAGCGGCGGCAGCAACATCGATAACATCTTCAGGTTCGTTTTTTGTTTAACGCGCGCGAAGCTCGAAATTAATTAAAGTCGATGTAACATACGGGGAGGGGGGTTGTTGCGTTTATATTAGGTCTACTCGCGGGATGCCGGCCTGTTTCCAATGTTCATCTCTGAACGAGAGCGCGGCGAAGAAGATCTGTCGGAAGCAACCCTTGGGCGTGCTCGCCCACGCGGAGACTCAACTCATACGAACGTATCCCGCGGGAATGCGCATCGATTCCACGAATTTCAATCCCGTGATATTTTGGGCCTTCGGGATTCAAATGGTTGCGTTGAACTATCAGACCGACGATGCGGGATTAACTCTGAACGCGGCCATGTTCGAGCAAACCGGTCAGTGCGGATACGTCAGAAAACCATCGGTGATGTGGGACAAGGGGCACATGATGTACAGGTGAGTTTCTTGTATTTGTCTTACGATAAAAACAATTTTCCAAATTAAATGACTGTGATTTTGAAAATATGAATCGATTCAGGCGGTTCAATCCGTGGGACAAAGAATTCGACGGGCTGCACTCCGCGCATTTGAGCTTGTCGCTGGTCTCGGGACAGTACGTCTCGCTTACGAACTTCGGCACCAGCACGTACGTCGAGGTCGAGTTGATCGGTATACCGATCGATTGCGCAAAACACAAAACAAAAGTGATCCAAAACAACGCGTTGAATCCGATCTGGAACGAAAAGTTCTGCTTCCAAGTTATGTTCAAAGATCTCGCGTTCTTGCGTTTTGGTGTCGTCGAGGCGAGCTCTCACCATCTGATTGCGCAACGCGTGATACCTCTGAAGTGTCTTCGACCTGGTTACCGACACGTGCGATTACGATCATGCAAGAACAAGCCACTGGCACTGTCCACGCTTTTTATTTATTCCCGATTGGAGGAGGAGAGTTTGGACTACAACACCTGCTGTCGCGATCACAAGGAGTCGTCTAAGCGTCTGTCATCAGGCAAGGAACCAGAAAAGCTGACCACCGTTGATTCTGGACTAGGCGGTGTCACGTTGAAGAGACGAATGTTCTTCTTGGCGGTCTACCACGTAATACCGGACGAGCCTTACACTATTCTGAAGGTGACCCAGGAGAGCAACACGCAAGAGGTAATGCTGCAGGCATTGCAGAAGGCTGGAATATCAGCCGATCACGTGGACGAGTACATACTAGTGGAAGAAGTGTTTCGCGGGTGGGAGAAGAAAGACAGAGAAGAATTGCCGACGCAACGCGTGCTGGATCCCACGGAACATCCTCTTCAGGCGCAAGCTCAGTGGAAAGGTCAGGGTCGCTTCCTTCTGAAGCGCGTGGGCGACGATCCGAGCAGTAGAGCGTGGCTCGCCTCCATCAGAAGCACAGCCGGCCATTCCAAGTTCAACGAGTCCAATTCGAGGGACCAACCCACTCATATATGGGACGAGGCCGACACCTTTCTGGTCTGCATCTACAACGTCTCACCGGAAATTCCGTACGCGATTCTGCGCGTGCCGGTAAGCAGTTCGGCGCAGGACGTGTTAGCGCAAGCTCTGATAAAGGCCAGAAGAATGGAAAATCCGAACAAGTTCGCCCTGGTCGAGGAGCTGGAGTGGGGCGGTGCGGGTGCCGTCGGAAGCGGAAATCGTCAACTGAGGGTGTTGAGCGACGAAGAGAACGTTTACAGCACTCAGGCGTTTTGGAAGACCCTCGGCAGATTCATTCTCAGAGAAAGGGAACAAGCCATTCCGAGGAGGCATCTTCTGCCCGCGACTCTCGACAGACTCAGCAAAGGATTCTCCGTAGGCAGATCGGTATCCCTGCCGGGATCTAGTAAAGACAAAGTGCCTGTATCGGAAGCACTGTCGGATCCCACATCCAGAAGTCTGAGACATCGGCTAATGATAACAGGCCGTAGACGAGAGGTTCACTCTGACGGCGAGGACACGCGCGAGTCCGACGCGCTGAGCATCGCTCTACAGCTGAAGAAGATCTCGTTGAGAAAATTAAGAGGTTGGAAGTCATAGTGGCAATCAAGGGCGACGTCGATATCATCGATCTTCGCCGCTCGGAGGAGTCAGCTATAAAAAGCTCGCATTTACCTTATCATTGTAATCCGAATCTGATTTTGCCAAACGATTTTATATCCCGATTCCGTGTTGAGCGAACGGAGCAACTCGATATAAAAAGAAGCTTCGTAAAAAAAAATTTAACTTCTGAATATATATCTTCGCCGATGCAAATGTCATGACGCGCGCGAAGAAGTTTACAATCAAGCATCCAAGTCTTTTCAAACGGAATAATCGCGACGCGATTACAGAACACGAACAATCAGAGACTAGGATAAAATAATATATCGCGGTGTTACAACAGCGTGTTTTTCTATATTTAATCAATTTTGGCGACACGTTATAACAGGAATATACTATCTCTGAAATATAAGCAAATATAAACGGTGGTTTCTCTAGAAGATAAATTGATATTTCCGAAAAAAAATAATAATAACTAATTAATCTCAAAGAATACTCGCGATTAGGTTGCGCTCGATTGTATATCCATGATATTTGAGAAAATATATGTCAGATTAATGATGTTATCATTGCTATATATACATATATATATATATATATGTATATGTATATATATTATTACATCGGCAACACAGCCAGTAATATCGATTGCTGAAAAATCACATTAAGTGGCAAAGTGAAACTTAAATTCTTGAATTCCGTTAAGTTCTCGCTAAAGAACGGACGTAGAGAGAGGCCAAGAACATCGTAAGCACGGGAGTTAATTTCGTTGAGTAGCACAGTGACAAAAAAAAAAAAAACAAGAAAAACAAAAACCCACGTATCAGATGTGCAGGTCGATGTGCGACTGCCGTCGGCGCGCTGGCGCGTCGGTATAAAGTTTGTAATCACACACATAATGTACACACGTTGCGCCTGATTTTTATTATTTTTGTACAACGAAATACAAAGGGAAGAGTCGCGGGAGAATCGGCCACGGCCGCGATCTTGCGATTCGTTTTTTCATGAGAGCGCGATATTCCTCACTACCACTTCTAAATATATATTATGCCAAACGCCGTACAATTCTAAGTACTTTAGATTATATATATACATACATATATATATATATCTCAAGACACACCCACCACACATATTTAGATACCTATATTATATTGAGAGTGCTTCCCGCTTGAACATATATTTATTCCGTTCGAAACATATCGGACCCGCCTGTACGATCAATTGATACATCATCGTATATACATATTATATCTCTCAGAAAAGGAAGTCGAAGATAATTTTACTCTGACTTCTTTCACATCATTTGTAAGTGTTGTCTTTTATCATTTTACGTCGTACCTGAAAAAAAAAGTTTTACATTGATACCGACTTACGCTTTTCACGTGAGAGAGCACAACTCCTCTCTTTCTCTCTCTCTCTCTCTCTCTCTCTCTCTGTAATAAAGTTTATAATATATCGCTGTTATATCTCTCTCGCTTTGTTTGTTCGCTCTAATTATTAACACACTAAAGGCTGACCCGCCTAAGAGAAATTAGATGAATTATGATGATTATTATTAATAGAAAACAATCGACCGATAGTGTGTTAACGTTGACAACCACTTGTTTTTTGCGTCTTGTCAACTGTACGTGATAAAAAAAAAAGAAGAAAAAAGTATTCGAATAGTCGAAAATGTCACGCTGGCTATTTGGGAATTGTGTACTTAAAATATATAGTGTACACTATTTGCTACATAATACAGTATTCCACGGATGGGAGCCCGTTGAGACCGGGGCAATTGACCGGATGAGAGCCAGATTGTTTACTTTTCCGATGAATAATGGACCGTAACGTTTGCTCGCACAATGAATAGAAGGAGAATAGACTTAAGAGCGAGCTAGACAAAATTATTGGCGAAACCAATTAGTCTCGGGGGACCGCCATAAAAAATGTGACAAATTTACAAATAACTTACTTCTTCTCCAACAGAGATGGGAATAAAAAAAAAAAGCTACACTGTCCGAGAAGTACTGTATATTGTTACAATGCTAGAGGGTAGATCGATATTGCATTCTCGATTACCGTCCCTCTCTCCTAGCTGTTTTAGTGAAAGTGATATACGTAGCTAGTGTATTGTAAATATACACACACACACACACACACACACACACACATAGATATATATATACATGATGATAAATTCGAGACCAAGGAGTGTCGATGGAAAACGAAAATTCTCGCGCCGCGCGCGGGCACGTTTCACGAGTGTGTGTTATCGCTCAATTATTTTTTCACGCGATGAAAAAAAATTCATCATCCGCGCGTCGACGAACATCGCGTCGTACGCTTCACAAGTTGGCAGCCTAATTTTTATTATATCGAAAAACAATTTCTCTCGTTGCTAATCGATTGATCAATTAACGCGAGGAACAATACGAGATCCGACGTTACACGAACATTCCCCGTCCCCCCTCCCCCCAGTGACGTCGCGAATAGCCTTGCTCCGTCTTCCATGAGTCAATTGTTTCAGATATTTTACATATTTTCGAAACGCTCCCGCAGACTGATGTTTTTTATGCAAAACTTGTACAATCAATCACACGCCGCGCGAGACTTTTAAAGCCGTAAGGAAAACGATGTATGTACTTTGTCATATCTTCCCTCCCTCTCTCCCCCCGATTTTACGCTTCTCGACGTCACTGGAAAAACTCCAGTATATATTTTTGGATACTACTTCCTTCCCTTTTCCTTAGTGTTTACCTCCGATCTCTCCGCGTAAATCAATGAGAGCGACCAAATAGGCAAAACAGGGATAAACAGATTAAAAAACCCTAGAGAGAGACAAACGCAAAGGCCAATTATATTTATGCCTGCTCGATTCGGTGGGCAAAAACTGAAAAAAGAAAAAAAACAGTTCGATAAAATAATTCTTCTAGGGAACATAAAGTACAATACACGATGTATATCTGAAGCGAGATCTGTGACGAAATTGATTTTCACTTTTTGTGTTGCCTCTCTTCTCTCTTTCTCTAATTTTGAAAATAGCGTTCGTACGTACTAGAGATCTTTCGTTTGTTGTACATCTGATGTTAAAAATTTTTAATTTTCTCGAAAAACGTCAATATTAAAAAAAAAAAACAAATTAACTTAAATTTTTGAGGAACGGTAAAAAATTCAATTTTAACTACCTTTATATAAATATATAAGCGATTGCGTATCGAAGTGTACCAGATAAATGACCTCACCGAAGAAGTAACACTTGCAAATTGCTACAATACAGCAACAACTTAGCGAGTACAAGAAGCATCAACAATATACTCTCATCAACGTGTACTTTATATTGATAGCAAATAAAAATGAAAAAACAAAAAAAAAAAAACGTGTGACCCGATACGTTGCGGCTAAGCATTTACTTGCACGTAGCGGTAATAACGTCTCTTTAGAAAATGTTATGTACATAGCAGTAACGAACAATGGCTACTAATAACGGTATATAATTAATTTTTCTAACGAATATTCGACGCTCCTTGGACCTCCGGCTAAACCCCTGCATTGAGTAAATTTATCAAAAAAAAAGGCAGTATCTATATATATCGAATCTATATATCGAATGTTGTCTTGTTATACGTCAAATATTTGTTGTTGCGCGCGCGCGCGCGCGCACAGTGTTGCAACGTAATTGCCAAACTCGTCTCTGAAAGGATGGACGCCGTCATGATAAATCACCCACTCTTCCAATATATCACTCTATATCATCTCTCTTGTATTTGTTTCAATAATTTAGTCCCAGACCTAACCCGACACACACGTTACTCGCATCAACAAATTGCGCTTTGTGTTCTTGTTCCATGTATAAAGTGCCAAAACGTAAGAAATATTATTGCGATGTAACTACTAAAAAAGTAAAAGTAAAAAAAAAAGTAAAAATATAAAATAAGATTTGTCATCTGTATATTTATTATCTTTCATCTAATTTCATCTCTGTGTCTCATTTGATCGTTTAATTATTTATTATTACATTAATAAGATTTCTACATGTGTCGCTGCATGAGATAATAAAAAAAATTGGTCAAATATATGAAAGAAACAACGCAAAGAGAAACCAATATAAGACAAAGAGAATTTTACGGATGTATAGGATGAGACGCGATGTTGTAACACATGTCATCTTGTCGCGACGTTCGACGGCGTCCATCCTCGACGAGATCAATCTCTTGTTTGCCATTCCTTTCGTCCTTTCGACTCCGCAAACGAGACGAGCTCGTTGGACGCGCTTAAAAATGGCTGTAGGTATATAAGGCGTGAAATTACTTAAATATTTTTGGGACCACTCTGATTTTAATAGAAGAGCTCGTAGAAGTCGATTCTAAGGTAAACAAAGCAGTATTCGGATTTCCTTGTTTCTTCGTCGATCGAGAACACAATCCACAAAGGGCGAAGAAAGGAAGAGAAAAAAAAATAAAAATAAAAAAGCACAATATGATGAACAACGGACAAGACAAACAAGACTAATATACATCCTTCGAGGATATTCGAACGAGCTAATTGACTACTATCGCGTCGCATATCCCTAATTGTACATATCCGTAATTTTCTTCGTTAGCTGTTATATTTTAATGTAAAACTCGCGTAATATGTAATAAATAATTATATCCGTACACCTACACACACACACACACACAATAAATATTCTATTACTCTCGGCGGCTTATCAGGCCATGTGCTGCATGTTTATGCAGCGTTGGTTGCGGAATAAGAAAAAAATAGAATTAACTTGAATTAATGCAAGTGACACATGTCCGATCGCAGGCTGGCCTGTCACCGGCGCTATTATTTCGATTAAGGATCGATCTAAGTGCAAATGTGTCTCTCTTTTTTTCATGTGAATGTATAAATTCTATCACACACACACACACACACACACTTACCTTGTAGACAGTTGTTGTCCTCGCAGTTTTCACCAAGCAGCTTTTCTCGATGAACGAAGCGAAGTAGAATGTACGGTAAGTTAGGCAAATATGGGCGCTGGAATAACGTAGGCACTTTCCGTTGTCTCGGGAATACATGCGTGATTCTTGCGAGCTGTAGAGACTGTGCGGGAAGAGATTGTCAAATGATGATCTAGAAAAAAATCCAGAAATCTGGTATAAGAATGACGAACTGCAACCGAAAAATGAGTTTCTCATATTTTATTTTATTTATATATAAAAAAATAAAAAATCAAAAACCCCCGCATTTGTGTTGTCACCCAATGAACGCAATGAGAGTGAAACAATGTACTTTTCTGTGTTGTGACAAAATAATTCAATATATATTCAATAAATATTTTTCTTAATTTGTTTTGTTTCGAATGAACCAGAGTTGTGTTGTCCGTATTATTGGCGCAATGGTGGCTCAGATATATCATTTGAAAAATATGCATTAGAGACAAATTAAGTATAGACGCGCACACTTGTGCAGTAAGTATAAAAAAATGAGAGCAATACGGTAGAAAAAAAAATACTACAGTTCAAAACAGTAACGAATATCTGATTTTTATAATGTTACATATCTATATTTAAAAAATTTAGTAAAAGATCTCATATTTGCCACTTTATCTATGATGACAGTTGGCAAAAATGACATATAATATATACGGACGTTAACGTGTATAATAAATTATTAAATAATTATTTAAATCTCGCCGAATAGTAACTATAGAATTTTGAAAAAGTGTCTTTTTTCTCAAGTTACCGTTCATTTATCACCTACTTCCAAATCATATTTATATTTAATAAAAAAAGAAGAATCAAATATATATATTAAGAATTTAATATATTGCTCACATTTCTGTATTCTTAAATAATTAATAAATAATTTGTTTGAATTATAATAATTTCTCTTTGTGTGTGTGTGTGTGTGTTTTGTTAAGCACACAAGAATTATGGTGTCACTTAGCTTTTGTGTGCGAGACAATTTTGTGTTTAATGTCTAATCTCTTGAAAAATTTTCAAAAAAAAAATCTTATCAGTGTATGTGTACGACGTATTTGTAAATTTGTTGAAATTAAACAGAGAAATTTTTCTCCTCGTAACATAGGAAATACGAGAGATATATTATATTACAATTAAGCGTGTTGTTCCATTCGCGCATTACAATCGCTACTAGGTCGCGTGCGATTTACGCTTCAAGAGTAAATACAGTGAAATATGAAAAATTGCAAAAGCGCCACGTTGTCGTTAAAATATTTCTTTGCGCTATACTAATACGAGACGTAGCATGTGATCACACATATATACGTATATTTACCTGACTATATACAATATTACAACACAAAAAAAAAATATATACTCAAATGCTATACGAGTAATAGAGCTAAAATTAAATTAGAACTCTCTCTCTCTCTCTCTCTCTTTCTCTCTTTGGCGTTGTTACGTAAACAATTAGACGTATGAGAAACCTTAGTTCTCGTTTTAACAAAGAACATTTAATAATAAAAATGTAACTTCCCGTTAACGACAGAAAATAAAGCATGCGACCATCTTGAAACACTAACATATATACATATATATATACATAGCGAATTTACTATTACAATAACATATTACTATATACTATTGACATTGTTAAGAAAAAGATATACATGTAAAGAAATATACAGAGCATTTTTATGAATAATTGCGTTTGCGTTATTTAACTCATCCTCTCGCGCGTCGCGCGTGTACTCACACACACGCACGCACGCGATTCGAGATTCACGGTTGATGTGTTTTCTCCGTTTTCTCTTATTCTGTAACAGTTAACAAAAGTTTCGTTGCGCAACTATTTTGTTGTACGTTTTACGATCTGCGCAAAGATTCGCGCTACGAAGTTACAGAAAGCGGAGGATTCATCTCACCGCTCATCTCGAACGCGCGAACGCGGCCGCGTTAAAATTTGTTCGCAGTAAACTTACCTGATCAGAATCACCAGTCAGCGCGACGCTAATTGATCGTTTGCGACACTTTGCGACACGCGTGTGTTTTACAAACATTTGCGCGCGAGACGACGGTAATTACATGACAATTTGCACGTAGGATTCCGCTCCGCGACGCGATCGCCGTGACTGCCCGCCATTTCACCGCGATATCGAAGCGCGCGAATGTTTCGAGAATCAAAGTATCGACTCTCGCGCGCGAGATTCGAGACTTACGTGACGTAGTTGCTGATCGATATATGTCGCGCTGTAACGAAGATCAACAGCGCCACCGTTGCCTAAGCGACAGAAAAGTAAAACAAAATTGACACAACGATGGCTGTGTTCCAAAATTTACTGCCAGCGCTAAAGATCTATAGTTTACGTCACATATATTATACAATTTTAGCACTGGCAGCAATTCTGGAACACAGGGGATGTTGGTGCAAGATGGAGAGAGAGAGAGAGAGAGAGACGCACGTTGTGCCACTTGTTTTAGATTATCGGCAAATGTTTTCGTGTGTTCGCGGCTTTATTTTGATCAATTTCATGGGTCGTGCACGCAAATCGTAAAAAGACCTTAAAAGGAGATAGCCGTTGAGCATCACCTGTCACCGTGCGACATAAACTACGTCCGTGACAACAATGTGCAATATTATGGCAATAATCCACCGACGCCGGGATGGATGAGCGACGTTGATTGTTGGCCAAGAGGTTATTTCAGGAATCACAATACAAAGAGACAACCATTCCCTTGTTTACAATTTTTGGTATATTTATTTACGTGAGCGGCTTATTTATATAAGAACACTGTTTACCGTAATTTTGTCAGTCACAGTTGGTTCTTCACAAGCGACTTCACAGCCGAGGGAGAGAGAAAGGAATAGTTTTGCTAACAATACTAGTCTTGTCTTCGAAATAAGGAAATAAATTGTGGAAGCCTTTGAGAAATTTAAACAAACAAAAAAAACTAACAAAGTAAAACACGAGAAAGTGACAAAAATTTGATAATGAAATTTTGACTGGTGTGTGTAACGTGTGACAATTGCGTTTTGATGTAGATGAATCGCACCGGCGTGCTCGCGGCGTTCGATTTCGACCACACCATTTGCGACAACAATACCGATGTGGTGGCGCGAAAATTATTGCCGGAGTGGAAGATACCCGAAGACGTTAAGGACTTGTACAAGTCCAGCGGATGGATCGCTTACATGAACAAAATCTTCGAGCTGTTGCACGAGAATTCCATTGACGCGAGAACAATCGAGAACGCAATTGTTAACATTCCAGCGGTGAGGGGAATCGAGACGCTTCTCGAATCTTTGAGCAAAAACGGTCACGAGATCATCATCATTAGCGATTCCAATAGCATATTCATAGACCGTTGGCTGAAAAGCAAGAAGCTTGAGCACCTGGTGTCGCGCGTCTTCACCAATCCGGCCTGGTACGACGACGACGGTAAGATGCGAGTGGGCATGTATCACACGCAGCACACGTGTAAATTGAGCAGCATCAATCTCTGCAAGGGTCAGATATTGATGGATTACGTTAGAGAGAGACGCGTCCAAGGCAAGTGCTTTGAGAAAATCGTCTACGTTGGCGACGGACAAAACGATTTCTGCCCGCTCATGCGTCTTTTGGAAACGGACCTGGCGTGTGCGCGAAAATGTTACGCGCTCGTCAGCATATTGGACTCGATACCTTCCAACGAATCAACAAAAGCGCAAATCTTATTGTGGAATGATGCCACGGACTTATACTGCAATTTGAAGCAAATCTTAGACCTTCATTAAATCTTGTTTTCTTGTCATTTGTCTTTAGTATGTTTTGATTCGTCGCTAATTAACTTCTTTTTTTGTTTTATATTTATTGTACTGCTGTGTGTGTACACACACACACACACACAGTCGGACTCCGCTATTCTTGACGAGTTGGGACTACGGTAAGACCGCTATTCCGACCATGCCCCTTCCATTCCTACTCTTTGGCGATACGTGATTCCTACGCTTGTGTGAAGTTTTGGACGCATAGCGAATTTACAGTAATGGAGAATCGGCACGAGAAAAAACGTCAAGAACAGCGACTCTGTACAGCAAAGTTCCTCATCAACTCACGCTTCTCACATTGTCTTTTTCTCATTCTCTGACAAGAATCTTGGATAAAAATACTGTACGTATTAATAAAGTATATTCGTTCTGCGTGATCGTCGCGAGTTCTGATAACAGCGGAAGTGGAGAAGCAGAAATCGACGATCTTGAGAAGTGAGAACCGGAGAGCTCCTATGTAAAACTATTCGCACATACACATTATATATTATTATATATACACACAAACAGAAATAATATTCTACTTCGACACGAATAAACAATAGATGTAGACGAATGGGTGTGTTTCTCAAAATTGATACGTGGAGCGATTGATAAGTACCCGAAACGACGCACAGATAACTACGGTATCGTATTGCTATTAAGTTTCATTCTTCAGATCGAATTTCAAACGCCGACTCGTTATTCGCGCGTGATATTCGTGCTCGCAGCTCGTCGAGATAGCCATTTACGGCATCGATAACTTCGTTAGTCAAAAACGTCTTTCCATTTTTTTTTTTTCAGATTCGAAATAAACGGAAATCACACACAAGGTCGTTGCGCGAGCTGGTGCGTTGTCAAAAATCCGAGCGTCTAATTTCGGATATTTATTAATCGACTCTCATACAAGTACTCGTGAAATTATCAAAGATTTTTTTCCGTTTCTCAAACGAGTCTTTTTTACATTGATGACATGTGTGTTCAATTCAAATTGCAATTTCTGTCGCGCGATTCGCAAACACACTTTCTTGTCGATGGTACATATGTATTGTATGTACACGTACAAATTATATAAGTTGCGCGCGCAGTAACGAGCTCCTCGTCGAGGAGGTTAAGGTGAACTCGTGACGTGCGCACAGTGCTAGCATCTTTGACATAAATTATTGTCAGCTTTTTGTTATTCTTCGCGGCTGTGTGTGAGCGACCGCGAAAAAGTGCATTCTATTTTGCAGTAATAACAAAGTCGCGAAGCTGTAAAATTAATCTTTCCGTTGGAACCAGTGTCACTTCTGACTCGGGACACAGCCTCGCAGCTTGTGTGATTATCTATACAGCGTTTCGACCAGTCGCGATAAGCGATACAGAGTAAGCGAACATTCTCTTGTTAATTGTTGTATGGACAGACGCCCGTTATATAGCCGTTAAAAAAAAAAAAAAAAAAACAATAGAATATTCCACTTGTGGGTTTAACTTGTTGCTTATACGTTTACACACACATGCACACACACATACAAATATCTTTGTGAATATTACAGAATGTAGTATATATATATAAGCACAAATTGTAATTTGTATATTTTACATACTAAATATTTTTCCATGTAAAATACACATGTAAGAATAATTATCTAATTGGAACTTTGTATTTGCCATTTATGCGTGCAAGAGTTAGCGAAAAATATATTTTAAATATTGTAAATAACAATTAGAGTGGTGTCACAAAAACATACCTAAGTGCTCTGTATGCGGAAATGTACAAAGACTCGCGACCACGAAAAGAAAAGAATTTATTTTATATGTTCACAGAATTGAAGGAGCCAAATACACATGTGTATGATTGTTACTAGCGTTGAGTGGATACATTATTGTCATCTGTATTAATTACTATTTAAGTATATGTGTAATTGTTTTTTTTTTTTTTTTTTTAAATTCTTTGAGTAATATCGAATCTTATATTAGTTTATACTTGATGCAAGTCTCAGGGGAACACATTAGGTTGATTTGATTGGGTGTATTCTGTTTTCTTTTGTGTTGCCGCAGATTTCTTGAATTTTTATTATGTTCACATTGACAGCATGTCTCAGAACGCTAAAGAAACATGCACTTGAAAATGTAACGTCCGTTAACCATTGAGGCGTGTGATTGCAAGTCAGCACCTTCAGTAGAATCTCCAGGAATATCGGAGTCCAGAGAATTACGCAGAGGATCAAACATAATTTCACGATATTTGATATTCTCATGATGCAGTCTATCTCCAAGATTATACTGTTCTTTTGTAGTTTCGTGAAATCTTCCTTATTTGTTTGCACATCTGCGCTATTGCCACCGCTGTGATTGTCTCTCGCTACGTGCGATATGTTCGTTTCCTCTGTTGAATCCTCGCGACAACTTCTTTCGTCTTGCATGTTTGTGGAAAACCGAGATTCCGAACGAGATTTATTCACGGTTGTTGCCCAATTATCGTTCTCGTTTCTGGAAGGATCAGACATTGGATCAGTAGTCGCGTTCATCAATGCGAGCGCATTCCGACACGTGTGCTTTCCTCGCAGTTGCAACACGCAAGAGAGTAGAATCGACAAGAAGTAAAAAGCGAAGAACAATACAAACAAGTGTAGTTTCAGAAAGTTGTTTGAAACGAAACACTTGTTGGTCATGTGCAACGAGTTGTTTTGCACGATGGTATCGAAATACTGATGAAGATTATCGCGTTCGCTGAAGAAGTGATCTCTGATCGAATTCTGCCTTCTGTTCGCGACACGATCCGCCGAATTGTCTCTCTGTTTTACAGCGTTTGCGCTGGCAGCTTGAAGATGTTTCATTATGATGTCGTTGTATGTCCGATTGGTGGAAATGAATGTTTTGGTTCGTCTGTTGAAGAAATTGATGAGCCTTTTAGTTCTTTTTTTATCTGCGCTTGCGAAGTATATCTGTGCGACTTCCTCAGGGTCCTTGTTTTCGACTGATGCTTGTACACCATCTGATCTCGTGAAAGCATCCTCCGACATATTTCTTAGTAGATCGTGAAACATTTCTTGGCTGAAGTTAATGTTTCTGTTCGACATCAAGTTGCGGACATTTTGATTTGTCATCAATGTACCATTTAATTCGACTAAATTTTGTAGTGTAGAATTGTTGAAGAGCTTGAAACTTACCGTAGAATTGCCTGTATAATTTAGCGCCTGGTTGATAATATCTTGAACTTTAGACACTACCTTATCTACTTCAATGCTGCTTGCGGTCAATAAGTATTCGTTAACGAAAGAATTGTTTTCCACTGACGTGACAGGGTTGACGTCAATCTTCGTATTGACATCAACATCTGAAAATGTATAAAAGCTGCTCGTGGGAAAGTTACTTTGGAACACGCACTCAATGTCTTCTGTACGGCGAATTATGTTTGTATCCTCGTGTTCCGCGGTGTACAACGTTCCCACTACGAAGAATGGCACGAGCCAGTGACTCGTAAGGAGAAAACAAACAGACTTTTTGTCGTTTTTTCTTGATGTTTGAGACTTGAAGATTTTCGTAATTCTGCTTATATAACTGCCGCCGCTATTGTTACTATCAATAATTCTCTGTTGGAACGCCGATAGTTGTTCGTCCTCCGTTTTTTTTCCTCTCCGTGTGACTTGCTTTGCTTCACGTTGAATGTTAGAACATGTCTTTCTTATGTGCGCCGCACTCAGATTGCATTGTGCGGCGAAAGTCAGCACAGACACGAATGCGTTTGTTAATGCGCCAAGTAACATTCCGTATTGCATTAATATGTCGTTCATGTCGCATGTAACAGTTACATTGAGATCCTTGTCCTTGTTAGCCGTTCTATACAGATGATAATTCTGTAGAAATGGAAATCGGTACGTATCTTCTTCTTTTTCTTCTTCTTCTTCTTCTCCAAGCATCCATGTGCGATTGATCGCGTTGCGTGTGTAGTTCTGCCAGTTGTAACTTAATTTTATTCCAGCCTCACTGTGAAGCGCGAGCAGTACGACAGCCGTCAATATGGTACTGAACACATCAGACATCGATAACACGTAGAACGGCGACGTTTTTTTGTGTTTGCAGCCTCTTTGTAGTAAGAACGCAAGTGTGACAAAACTGGCCAGCATCAGGATGTAGCCTATCACTGTAGAATGCATATCGCGAGAGCACGTTGAAGATGACGTTCGATTGAAAACGTTAAAAACGTTTCCAAACGGGTGAAAGAACCGCACCTTAAGGTTGATGGAAATAATCTGACTAAAGCCTCCGTTAGAACAATTATATGGGTTCTTGCACATTGATGTGGGTACTCAGGTAGTTTTGCACTTGTAATTTGTAATAACTGTATTTACTGACAGTAATGAGGGTACGCAGTGTTTATCTGTTTAAGCGCGAATGACAGATCGATCACATTTATGCTAGACTACACCATCGCAAACTTTTAATATTCTTTTTTTTTTACTCTTTATATGTTTTAAATTATATATGACAGAACACACAAATCAGCATTTATCGAGGAACGTCGAGTATTGTAAGATATTGTTTTGTGTTTACAGTTTATGACTGACAATATGTCTGTGCGTCGCAAAAGCGATCCGTCTAACACTCAGCGAATTTGGGACACAATCAAGGTTGCGGTACATCAAAGGACTTTGCCCAACAATGATCGTATGATACGACATCTCGTTCGGGTTTATGGTTTGACAGAGCAAGAAGCTCAAGAGGAACTCGCCAAGACGGTCGAGGACGGTCTAGTTCTGGTGAAGAAAGTGTCCACGAAAAGCGGTATCGAACAAGAAAGTTACAGATTACCGCCAGTAGGCACATCAGAGAATGATACTCACGATTGGTATTGTTGTAAATGCCAAAAGGCAGGTGCGGTCGAATGTTGCGAAAAGTGCCACAGAGTGTATCATCCGGAATGTCATGTACCTAGCTCTACAAAATTGAAGATTTGCAACTTTTGCGAGGTACGTGCGTGAATTCTCTGCTAAAGAGACCTGTTAAACTTTTGTTAATAAACTAGGATCTTGTGACAGTGAGTGTAAGTGCCTCTAATGTTTATCCAAAGTTTTTGTTACTTTGTTTATTCACACGTACTGATTGGTTTTGAATGTATTGTCAAAAATACAAATGTTGCAGAAAATAAATACCGACGTGTATCCCGACAAGACCGAGCTCAATCACATTCTCAGTTTCACGTGCGGCCACTTGAAGGCAAAATTACCACCGGAGATTACAAATCGCACTATTGTTTTTAACAACGGACCAATTGTCACACCGCCCAATGGCTTCTCCGGACCGACCTGGGTCAGCGAGGGCGAAGACGCATGGCGACCGGGGATTCTCATAAAGCATCACATGGATCTGGCGATAATGGATGCTAAAACGAACAAAAATGAGTACAACAATCTGGCCGAATTCGAGGCTGACGCCCACAATATCTTACACAACATCTTAGTATATCACGGAGGTAAGAGATTTATAGCTTGATTTATATAGCATTCTCTCAATGTTATGTTATTGTTTCGTAATTTTGGCAGCTCACAGTGTGGTCGGGGAGATGGGCAACACGATGTATCGCGACTGTTGTTACGATCTTCAAGAAATTCGCCGTTGCGCGGATTGTTATCGCATATCAAATGAGAAATCTGAAAAATTTTGGTTCTGCATACCATGCGATCCTCCTCATCAATTGGTTTATGCAAAACAAAAGGGATATCCGTATTGGCCTGCTAAAGTTATGCAAGTTAACGGCAATATATATGACGTACGTTTTTTCGGAGGTCATCATATGAGAGCTAACATCGAGAAGGTCTTCATTCGACCAATCACATCGTCGTTGCAAAGTCTACAGGTAGATTTGGTATCGCTATATAACTGAGAAAAGAGAACATCTCTTCTTTGTTTCTTTGTAAAATCAAAATTGTTCTTTTACAGGTAAAAAAATCCACGGCTTGGAACAGAGCCTTCGAAGAACTAAAACACCATCAGAACTTGTTACAAAAGTTGGGCAAGAACAAGGAAGATTCCGCAGATGGCCCTACGTCTGCGAAACTGCGGAAGATGGAATCGAGTTCGAGGAACACGTCGCACAATTCTAATTCGCCAAAGCAACTGATTAAAGACTTGAGAGTTAAAGTCGAACGCTTAAGTACAGACGGCAATACCGAGACGCAAGCGAACGACGAAACCGATAACAAAGACGACGCTCTGAAGACAAATGACAAGGACGAAGAGAGCCAAGTGCCTTGTTTACCGGTAGCGGAAGATGAACCAACTAGAGAGATAACGAGCACGTGCCCGCAAGGTTTGAAGAAGGAAGGTTCACAGGAGGACATGGTTACATCAAGTTCGCAAGAACCGCGATCGAAATGCGTCCTCGTACAGACCGAACAAGTCCAAACGGAAACGCTTCCCACCAAGGTGAGTTTTCAGTTAGACGTGCCAATAATACATCAAGGTAATGTCTCGCAATCACCTCTCAATAACTGTAAATTTATAGATCAAACGAGAACGCAGAACTTCGGAACAGCCAACGGCAACAATAACAACACTTGACAAATTACGCCGTGAATTAGAGCTTGAAAAGTGTAAGGAACTTGAAAGATTGCAAGCCGAACATGCCAAAGAATTGCGACAATTAACCGAGAGACATCAACAAATGGTATCTGACATCAAGAAAAAACAATGGGTAAGTTTATTCTTGTTTTCGCGCACTTTTATTAAAATTTAAACGTTTGGGATGATAATTTTGTTTAAACACAATATATATATTTATTTTGCAGTGTTACAATTGTGAAGCCGAAGCGATATATCATTGTTGCTGGAACACCGCGTATTGCAGCACCGATTGTCAACAAGTTCATTGGCAGCGCGAACATAAAAGAGTATGCAGACGTAAACGTTAATGAATTATATTGATTACCCAGTGTGTGCGTGCATACGCGCGCGCATGTTTGTGTTTATGTGTACATGTATGTATGTACGTATGTGCGTATGTATATGTGTGTGTGCGTGATGTAAGAAAATATTCAAAAAGAACAGTCAAACTATTTGGGAAAAAAAATATGTTTGTCGTTGCTTCTGCAATATTTAAGAAAGAATAAGAAGAGAATGGCACTGTCGCACTTGAGAAGAGCCAGCGCGTCGACAAGAGAAACAACGCAGCAAGTAATTGCTAATCGGGACTTGATTCTCAGAAAAGCAGCACAATGATCGCTTCTAACCACGACTTGACGCGTGCAGAAACCATAGAAGCTTATTTATCTGCGCCTTTTATATTAATAAAAAAAAAAAAAAAAAAGTTTTTTCTGTTAACTCACTTAACGCGTTTACGTCTACTTTCTTATTTCTTTTATCTCAGCTACGGTTGTTTATTGTGGGTACCCGCATTACGTATACCGTTCTCTTATATGCACGGGATAATCGAGTGGGGCTCGATGTTTATTTCAAGAGCTCCGTATGCAATATACAGAGCGCTTGTAAAAAGTCCCTGTGTCTTTTAAAAATAGAAATAGATTTTATAGAAATATTCTAATATACTTTTTTTTTTATGTATGTTTTTATACAAAATAGAGAAGAGTCAGAGAAAAAAGAAGTTACACTATTAATTCTTATTACAAGTTTTAAATTACTCTCAATTTACCAATATATCATGGCTTCTTAAAACAAACATACATTACGGCACTTAGCAAATTCTGAAATAGTCACTACACTGAAAATAATCCCTGTAATAAACAATTAATGTATTGTTGCAACAATTCTGATTATTATACAGATCGTGATATGATGATCATGAGGCATTTTCTATCTTTTACTTATTTGTAAAAATAATAGTTCCTACACATTGACAAGTAATTAAAAAAAAAACCAAAACATTTCACACACATACATGTATAACGAAATAAATTTTTAGATGTACGAAAAAAGATAAATATGTAATTAAAATAAATTGTAAAATCTCTAGACCGAAAAAATTCTTGTATGTAATAAAAGTTGTGTAATGTGTCGGAGATATATAAGCTATGTGTATACACCTCTGTATGTATATATACTTGGCTGTGTACGTGTATATATATATGTGTGTGTGTGTGTATTTGCGTAAAGATAGCTCGCAGAAGCACATTAATGTATTCTTAACACCGATCCAACATGCCTTTGCAAACTTCCGTAAACGGAAGAATTCTTCTATTGTAAGTGAATCTTAAAAATCTGATTTTATCTGTATCAAGTCCATATAACACAGAGAGAAGTTTTTACAATATAAATTTCATACATTGATATTTGTACAACAAATTTCAGTGAGAAATTCCGAAGTGATAATTGTAAGAGAGAGAAAGAGAGATCACATGTGAAGTAAAAAGATATCGATAGATCTTTTGTTAAAGATTGAAGAGACAAAAAAAAACAAAAATCAGGATATATTACAGAACAGATGTAAAAAATTTCAAATGCCGATTATACAAAATGTACACATACTTTGTTTTTATAAGTGATTGTTTTTCAAAAGTAAAAATCTAAATCCCCTATCTCGACAGTCTCGAACTTGTTAGTTGTTTTGATTTGATCGTTTCCTAGATGAAGTTAGATGAAATTTTGTTCCATATGCAATCTTAACATCAAGTTTTTAATAGATATAACTATATGTGTAACTCCATTTATTTTCTATATGATAATGGATCATCATTCTTCTGTCATTTATATGTTTACTATAAATTAGTTGTAACGTGAACTCATTTTTTATGTAATCGAATATGTGATTAATCGCACGTTTATATTACGTTTGACGTATTATGTTGTTAGGATACTTTACTTCAGTAAAAAACAAAAGTCGTTTCAGGTAATTCCCAAAACGTCGATTAAAATTGTAATTTTCTTAGACAATGAGACAATTATTATGTGAGAATTATCAGTATATTTAATGTATGATTTATGTAACAAACACAATTCTATGAATAATATGAAACATGCGTTTATAATCTTTGAAATTATTTCCATATAGTTTCCTTTTATATATATTTATATAAATTATATATACACTAAGTAGCTATATATTGATGTAATTATACATTAAATCACAAATATTTAAATACATTTATCTCACTAAATATTGCATAACAATATATATCAAAGCTATATATAAATTTTATATATATATATATATATATATATATATATAAAGTTCGCAAAGCAATTGCTCAATAAGAGAAAACTTGAAAACTGTTAGCAACAAGTTAAAAAAAGGAAATATTTAATAACAACAGTGTTGATATCATTAATTGTATGACTTTGATACACTTTAAGTATCTTGGGTAGCTCTAACTTCCTTCCCCACTACATCTAGAGCCATTTTACTCTTTCCTACTGTTTCTGTAACTTGTACATACCTGGTGGTATCTACACTATTTAAGGATAATCGTTCCAACAACTGTAATTCAGAAGGTTCCAATTTCTCTCCAAGCTGCCTTAATGCACTTAATATTTCTCCGCGTTGGCAATCAGCAGCTTCTTTACTTAATTTTCCTAATTTTACATCACGATCAATTTGTAAGAGATGTTCTTTAAGTCCATCAGGCTCACGTTTACCAAACATTCTTATTACAGCTGGTGTTTGGAAAGCAGCACTGATAGCAGCTTGAGTTGCCTATTTACAATTAACACATTCTCCATAAAAAAATATACAACTATGCGAATACGTACATATATGTGCCAATATGTACCAATTGTATTGCACCAAGTTCATTGACTAAGGTCATATCTCCAGATATCATTCTTTGCAGTCTGTCGTTAAACTCACGAAGTTGTGCCATTGTGTCTTCTTTACATTCTTGGTAATCTGTCTCATCTAAAGAAACTCTGTTAACAAAACAAGCGATTGTTGAAATAACACAGAGCTTGTGTATTTTGCAAATGAAAACAAAACAAAAATGTGCTATTGTGGCTGATATTTTGCGAGACTAATAATAAAGAAAAATTATAAGATAGTCCTGAGAAGTACACAAACACACTGCTTCTCAAATCAGATGTTGTAATTTGCACAAAAATTGAAATAAGCAAAGCTTATTCTAACCTGTCTTCTTCCAGGTCTTCTAATTGTTGCACAAGTCGATCCAATTGTTCCTCCAGATTCTTCCTAAGCCTATCGGTTTCAGCTCTTCCATGAGTACTCATCTTCAACGAGTCGAGGAAAAATATAAAATGACAAACAAAAGGAATTATTAGGCAAACCTGCGTCTATCTGTAAAGGTTATGTTGTATGTGTATCAACTACCTTTGCTATTAAACTCGTATCACACTAAGGATTGGAGCTGTTTTTTTCGAACAAAATTGTCCAGATAAGGTTCAAGCCACACTACAAATGCTTCGAAGCATCAATCCATCTTTGTCTACTTCTCGCGAAAAATGAAGACAGAATGATGCTTCGAACGGTAGGTTTCACTTGGCAACGACTTTGGTAAGCATATAGGCCGTGTCTACATTGTCCAATCGTATTGACCATAATCGTCAAATCGACGAATGCGACTGAACATTGTGGACACGGCTTACGCTCGCGATCGTTGCGAGCGCCAAGTAGAACTTAATCAAAGTACGCCCTTCCTCCCACTCGACCGGTTCACAATTCACCCCATTCTCGTGGCGTTGAAAATTTTGACGGTGAGAGCGAGAGGGAGAAGAACAACGAATCGAGAGACGCGTTAACCCGGGCCACGGCCTCTCATTCGGCCCGATGTCGGACAGTACCGGCCCAAATGCGCAGCAACGACTCTTCCGATTGGTCGCGATTGTTTGCCAATGTGCGCACAGCTCGAAAACATTCCCGCTTCCAGTCTCGGCAAGCAAGAAGCAACACTAAGTGTCCGAACATCGTGTCGTTCATGTCTCATCGGTGGTGGCTCGCTCGTGTGGCGCTCTGACTCGTGGATACGCGATAGTTCAGTCTTGTTTTTTCAGTCTTCGTTTCGGGAAACGGTTTAGCATAACCGACCGAGTGTGCGCGCGATTATGCGTTACAATATCGTTAATTTTACGAGCGGGTGAGATACAACGTACACCCGCGAAGAACCGTAACGGCGTTGTTGGAAAGAAAATTTAAACGATAAATCACAATTGTCGATAAGACGATACAAAAACGTGCAAACGGCGAGAATTGCGCCACATGAAACGTCACGGACGTCGCGGGTCGTGTGGCAAAGGATCATCTGAACGATTGCGCGCGCGCGCGCGCAGGCTTACATCTAGACGCGAACGTTTCCGCAATTTGTAGCGATCGCGAACGATCCGCACACAAACGATCCTTACGGCGAAGTGCGTTGTTCTACCACACATACGCACACACACACACATATATAATACACGCAAAGATTTGCGCGGTCGTTCTTCTTCGAAACGGTGCAGTTATTTTTTTTTTTTTTTTATCCCGTCCTGTGGAAATTGCCCTAACACGTGGAAAAACGTACTTATGAATGCGACCAGCATTTACAATCCGCATCGAAGAGGCCCACGTCTGCAATGAGCATGCCGACAAGGGGTTCCAAACACCTACCCTCTTCGCAGCATCACCCGCAACACCATCCGCAGCAACAACAGCAGCAGCACCAACAGCTACATCATTCCAGTGCTCATCACCATCATCATCAGATTATACTAAATCAGTCCCTCGTCCATCCGTCGCAGACCTACAGTGCTGTAGTTAATTCTCGATTCCCAGGGAACCCAGGTACGTCATGCAATTATTCATTGTACATTCTCGCGCTTTTCCGCTCTTACGACGATCTCTTTCCCCGCTCCCCTTCCCTCCTCTCCAACCAACGGCAGAGGACACGTCTCTCCGCGCGTTTTGTCGAAACGTTATCTCTCGTCGAGATAACGACGAGCATTAAGTTGGCACGCGAATTGAAAAAGAAAAATTTATATGTAAGCGATTGCGATCTGTTCGCAGCGATCGCTTGTGCTCGTTGCGCATGCACATTGAAAAACGCGTTGTTTGAGGTTAGAACGGCCACGCGCGCGGCATGTGGCCACTACCTGTGTGTTGTACCACGAGAATGTCCTTCATCGCGTGAACTTTTTTTTGCGGACATATGTGACGCACCTAACCTCTCGCGTCCCGTGACTGTTTGCTCGAGTGTAGCAAAGAAAAGTAGAAGCTTTTCGATATGTTTTCAAAATAATTAAAAAAAAAAAAAAAAAGGGATCAGAGTTAGAATGTCGGATCTGGGAAAGGCTGTTGTTCTCGGCAGCGCTCGAAACACCGAGAAACATTATTTCAAGCACACATGTACGATATGTTTGAGTTGATAAAAAAAAAAAATCAAGAATTTAACGATCCACATAGTTTGATGCATTTTCGTATGTGTGTTTCACATATCAAATATTTTAAGAAATAAATTTATACAATTACATGTGAATTCTTAAAAACGCGTCCAGTCCACCAAGAGAATATCTTACACCGAGATAACACTTACCATATCATCTTTTTCCTCGAAGCTGAAAAAAAAAACAGCCAAAAATGTCCTAAAAAATCACAACATGCCGCAGAGAAGCAAAAACACATTTTTTTTCTCTTCGAAACTCGAATTTGCAGATAAATAAATCTTGAGTCGAAAACTCTCGCGTTTCGGCCGCGGAGAAACTAATCGTCAAACTTTTTCCACATTTACATATGCAACATTCATTCTGTGTGAAAGCAAAATTTATATCTCCGCGGACTGCGCCAAGTTCGACAATCCCAGCTGTGCATGCGGAACGACAAGAAATGTTCTTTTCCTGGCTACTGTAATCTCGTTAAAAACCGTTTTCTCGCGATTACTCTCGGCGGTAGTAATCAGTCGATGGTTAATGAACATATCTAACATATGTAAAATAAATAACTCGCAACGTTTATACGAATAAATAAACGTGTAAATGCACGCAAAAAAATCATCAAGTCCTCGTAAAACTGAAAAAAAAAAACTGGCACGTTTTTGTGAAGGACATTGTTTTTTTTTTTTAGGCTGAAGAGAAATATTTAAATTGCGATACTTGATTTGAATATATATGCTTTCACTTTCGTTCGCTCCTTCAGCTTTAATGTAAACACACTCCTGCGCGCTACAAAAGCTCCGGCGTGTTCACAATTTATTTATCGGATCCGCTTATCGCTCTCGTTTGATGTGTTTTCAATACTCTCGTATTTTTCTTTTGGACCATCTGTTCTCTCGTAAGCTCAATCGTATGTAAAACAACGAGACGCGGGATTTTTTTTTTTTACATCTGGATTTGGGGACAATAAACACGCGCAAGGTGGAGGAGAAGAGCGAAGGAGAGTTGGCCGGCCACGATTGACCGACACGACGTGTAACAAACTGTTGAATCGCGCCTATTATAAACGCGGAGGTGGGAGACAGAACTTCCTGCGTGCGAGTCGTCGTGACGTATCCAATCATCCCGACGGTAAATCGACGATTTGTCCGACCTAAGAAAATAGGAAGTACACAAAGGGGAGGGAAGTGCGCAAAATAGTTTCTTACGGCAAAATTGTTTCGACCAAAACATGCAAGAATTTTTCCGCACGTCAGGACAAGCGTGGGAATTCAGACGACGATCGAAACTTTCGTAAATTTGCGTTTAAATCTGTGACAATTGTGACAATCTGCGCAAATATGTTGATTTTTTTTTTTTTTTTTTTTGCGTGACTTGAGTTATTGCATTCCGACGCTCCGCACGCGTGAAACGGTATTCTTAGAGTGGAATAACACCTCTCGTTGCGGCCAGAAAACGGTTGCGCGCGTGTATTTTTTCTAATCGAATCGCCGCGTAAAAGCGTTAATGGATTTTTGGGGCTAATGGAATCTTAGCTTGAAATATCCTGGAAGAGAACGCGCTTTTCGACGTCAAAAAATGTAAAATATGACATTTAAAACGACCTAACGCGCTAGACAAAAAACGATCAGAGTTCGTCGGAAATTGATTGACTCGTTTCGTCGTCAATTTTTCTCAATTGATGGAAATCGATGCGCAAAAACAAATAGAAACGAGAAAAAGAGATCGGTGACGTTTGTGCGCGCCCAAGTTGAAGAAGAAAAACAAGAAATTTGCTTTTCCGTGCAAATATGTGTGCGCATAAAGGGATAGCGGAGGCGCGACAATGAAGTTGGAAAGAGACGCCGCGGGTGAACGAGACGTAAAGCGACCGAAGTGGCACGAAGCCGACCGAAGCGGTCACTTCGGCTGGTTGGTACATGTGGCAATCACGGTGCAAGCCGTTTCCTTCACACATTTGGCTCGCTTGGTGAAACTGTAATCGCGCAATCGTAAAAATAGTCGGTTTGCCGGAGTGCGATAACGTTGTGTCATCGATCGTTGCGAATCTGGAAGTCGCGATAAAACGACAAAACAACAACCGGCGGCAAAAGGAAAAATCCATTCGCGGTAAATCCCTCCCCGTGTGTATCGCGTTGTGTTCTTCGCGCGTTCCACTCAACTGGTTCCAATCGTGGCGACGAGAGGTCCCTCCGTTTTCAGGGACACTCCGCGATCTTTCTCGCTCTCTGGGAGCCGTGAGAACATATGGTAGTAAAATCGCATATCGTCCCCGTTTCGGTGAACGTTACGTCGCGACGTGTCGCCGGTGTCGTGTCGGGAAAAAGTCGCGAAAGATCTTCGCGTTAACGTTTTCTCGCTGTTCTGGTGGTTACCAATAAAGTATAGCGGGTTGGTATTCGCGCGCGCGTAGCGCGACGGCAGCACTAGATTCCGTCCGGGTTTGGTGTTACTAACGCGTCTGAAAACATCGAAAACGTGAGAGAGAGAAAAAAGAAAGAGACCGCATCGCTCATCGTGTTCTCTACACGGAGGTTATATAATTTCCAACGGGAGCCGCAAACTTCTTCTGTCCGGCGACCATACGCGTGAAATTCTCGATTTCGACCACGTGCATTTCATTTACGTTTTTGACGCACTCGATAGAAAATTAAAAAAATAAAACAAAAAAAAGAAAAGAACTGCTCATGCAACCACGTGTCATCGCGCGCCGAACAACGGTGTGGACGACGACGGTGTCATTGTCGATGATATACCCGATTGTCGCAGCCACGTATCCATCAATGTCGTAACGGTCATCCCACGACGATCACACGACGACGTTAACAACCGAGAACGGACGCGGTGGAAATGCCCCCGGTCACAGGTGGTGGTGAGTTGGTTATCACGTATCCAACATTTCACGGTGTCGACGTGTCCGGCACTCTCTCTCTCTCTCTCTCTCTCTGTCGACAGACACACATCTTTTCTTTTCATAGCGCGTTTTTATCCAGATGTGTGTTCTTGCATTTGCACAGAAATAATACTTGACGGTAAAAAAAAAAAAAAAACACCATTTACGTCACCTTTTTTTTAAGTTTCAATTTTTGACACAACAACAA